GCAGACAAGCCCACACAACAGCTCCAACAGAGAGGTATTTATGTTCCACACAAGAAGCAAGCAGGAATTACTGCTGCAGCAGACACTGCACTCAGAGGGGAGAGCAGTGGTGACTCACCAGGAAGCGAAGCTGTGTCAGGCTGAAGCCTGGGGTCTGGTTAATGTGATCTGTGAGCCTCCCTGGTGTGGCCACCACAATGTCAGCCAGGCTGCAGTAGCCTGTCACTCTGAAAGGACAAGCAGCCCATCAGTAAGTGTCTCTCCTCACAGCCTGAAGGTTTTCCTAACACTCAAGTAACTGACGAATAACAAAATTCACATATGGACTTGATGCTGGAGAGCATGCAGGGGTGGTGGTGGACGCCAAACATCAGTCTCCACTGTGCTGCCTTATTTTAAACAGAAAATGTCACTCTTCATTGTTCTTCAAAAAAATTTTGCAGCACAATGCCACACAGTCATATGTACCCATGTACAAAAGGTAAATGTTTGTATTCTGAGCATTTGCTGGTGAAGAACCCCAAAAATCTAGTAAAACATTACAACCACAAAACAGGGGTAGTAACAAACATTGTGACAAAGACAGAACCACCAGAGTCACACATATAAACCCATTATCCAAAATCGTGATAGTATGATGCTGTGCTGCAATAGTCCATATCTTGACCCCACCTTAATAACATTAATTAGCATGCAATCTCTATAAACTTTGTCAAACTACCTTTTAACCTACTTTTTCTCGACAAGCATTTCCTGCTCCTTTGCAAAAGATTTCTGGCCAGTAATCAAAACGACCTTCAGACCTGTTCCATCAGTGTAAATGTTGAACACTTTACTCACCTGCAAAGAGATGGGCTTTGTCAGCTGCAGGAAACACTTTCCATGACATGAACAGCATCACACCCGCTGGCAGCTCTTCAGCCTGCTCCACAGAACAGCCAAAGGACTGCCTGCACCAGCCTGTCCCTCAGCCCAGCTCTGCTCAGACTCGGTGAGGAGCCACTTACCTGTTGTGCCAGCTCTTTGGTGGGCAGAACAACCAGAGCTCGTACGTGGCAGACCACTCGATCTAACAGAACCTGCCAAAATAAAGGCCAAGTGAGTCCCTGACAGAACAGGGCCTAACCTAGTGAGAAAAGATGGGCTTGACATTCTCACAGTCTTATGCTTCCATTTTTCTCCCTCCACCCTCCCAACTCCTCATGCTGTGTCTGCTATCTGAGAAAAGGAGTGGGAAGCTGACAAGAAGCTCCCTCAGACAGCTCTGAGCTGAAAATCTGCTGCCTTATGTCCACAAATCCCTTGGCTTTTCGACCTGCATTTAAGTTCAGGTTTTGCATGAACAAAAGCAACGCCAGCATTTCCTTAGAGGTACATGCCTGAGCATGAACTCACCTGTACAATGGGTATGACAAAAGACAGGGTCTTCCCACTGCCTGTGGGTGCAGAGACACAGATGTCCTTGGGGCGGTACCCGCCCCGCCCCAGCAGGTACCCGTTGGCTGCACTCTGGAGAATGGCAGGAATCACCTCTGCCTGGACTGAGCAAAACCAGAAATAAACACAACCTGTGTGCTTCATCAGCTCACCAAGAACTGAAAGTGTTATATAAAAGCATTATTGAAATGAGAAAATGCATGCTGGCTTCCCAACATAACCCTGCCAAGCCTCTGACAGAGCCTGAGTCTCCAGGCTCAGCTGGACTAAGGTCACTCCCTATTCTTGTCCAGCATGCAGCTGGCCTTTCTTCTTACTTAAGAACTGGCATTTATTGTACTTGTTGGCAAAACTGGCAAAATAACAGAAAACAGATTTCTTTTTTTGTTTGGATATTTTTCTAGTGCTTTAATGAGCTAAATGAGTTCCCAGAAAGCTCTGATCAGTAGGAGAGACAGTGGAAAGTAAGGAGCTAAAGCACAAGCTTGGCATAAGGAGGAAAAGTGTGAGGACACAAGTAAGACCTCCCTCTTTGGGCAGCTCTGAGCCATTACTCCAAGCTACACTCATAAGTAGGTACCAGATTTTTACTCAGCCCAGACAAAGCTTTGAGAAAGAAGGGTTAAATCTCCTAGAATTGCTTTCATGCCTTACATTTTGTCCTGTATTTTACTTCACTACCTACACAAAGTATACAGCACCAGACTGCAGGAACTCTTCAAGTCCCTTTAGGAAGAAACAAAAGCACTGTCAAGGCACCTGGAAAAAAGGAGTCTATTCCATTCCTCTGCAGCTTTTTCAAGAGCTGGGGATGGATTCCTGGCACGTCTCTGACTGGACACAGATTATCTCTGATGCGTTTCTGCACCCGCTTGGGCTCAGCAAGCCACTGGGGCAAGAAGGGCTGGACCTGAGGTGAGGGAAAGGAGAAAGTGACAACACCATATGTAAAATAAACTTCTAAGAAGCATTCTTTTCCTATCCATAACCAAAATTCAGTCAAGCTAGTTACCTTCTGCACTGGCTTTGCATCATAGTCCCCAAGAATCATCATACTGGAGGGTGCATTTGCCCCTTCCCCTGAGGCTACTAAGGGCAGCTCCTCCTCTGTAGTTTTACTTCCCTCAGCTTTTTCACTGCTCTCTTTCTTCTCTGTTTCATCTCCTTCTGTTTCCTCATCTGCTTTCCTCCTTTTATTAGACTTGTTTTTAAAGCTGTTTCTGTTGTCCTGTTGTTTGATGTCTTCTTCAGAATCTGGAATTTGGGTAGCAGCAACACAGAACTACAGGTCAGAGCCAGCCACAGGAAAGGGATTTGGCAACATTACAACACAGGACTTAAGCAACAACTTGTAAGCTCTTTTCTCCTGAACCCAAGTGCAGAAGTCAAACATTTTTTGTTGGTATAGAAACAAGACTGAGGTGATGTGGTGTGCTTCCCTCCTCCCCTTACACTAAACTGATTCTCAAAGTACAGGGCCTTCCCTTGAAAAAATAAATTGGGAGCATATTAAGGAGATGAAAACAGAGTCAGGTAAACTGGGCAAAGTACTCAAAGAGCAACTCGTGTCCACTTTTCTGTGGAAAGTGTCAACCACAATGAACTGAAATCCTACAGTCTCACTTTATCCTCACCTGCTTCAGTCCTCTCTCGCTGCACTTTCGATTTCCTTCTATTTGCTTTCTTCTCTGTGCGGCTGCTGCCATCTGCTGCCTCCTCAGTACCAGCCCTTTCTTCCGAAGAGCTGCGCGGCTCCGGTTTTGTCTTTCGCTTCTTCTGTCTATGCGCACCGGGCTGCTCCTCACTCTCACTCTCCCTCTTTCCCTTTCCCTTTCCTTCTCCGGGCTGCCCCGCCGGGCTCAGCCCCGCGCCCCCCGGGCCTTCCCTTCCCTGGGGCGGCGCCTCTCGCTGCTTCTGCTGCTGCCGGGCCCTGGCCTGGTGCTGCAGCCGCTGCAGCAGGACCCGCGCCCGGTCCTCCGCCTCCGCCTCCTGCCCGGCCTCCTCGCCGTACCTGCAACACGCGGACAAACCTCCTCAGGCACGAGCACAGACCTCCGGACAGCACCGGCTGTGGGAGCGGGGCGGGGAGCGGGGAAGGGGAGCGGGGAAGGGGGGCGGGGAAGGGGGGCGGGGAAGGGGAGCGGGGAAGGGGAGCGGGGAAGGGGAGCGGAGCGGGGCCGTGCCCGCCGCACCTGCGGATGCAGAACAGCGCCATGGCCACGCCGCGCGGGCGCACTGCGGTGACGTCATCGCGCCCCGCCAGGGAAGCCTCGGCAGGCGCGGGCGGGCGCGCCCCCTGCCGGCCGGCGGCGGAAGGGGCGGGAGGCGCTGAGGGGAGCGCGGCAAAGCGCTGAGGGAGGAACGGGAGCGGCGGCGCCGGGAGCCTCGGGGGGACGGGGCACGGCTCCCCAGGGACCGGGCACAGCTTGAGGGCAGGACAGGGCACATTCCCGCCAGGGACCACCTGGGACAGGGCACAGCTCCAGCAAGAGACGGGCTGGGAAAGGGCACAGCGAGGGACTGGCTGGCGCAGCATCAGTGCAAACACAGCTCAGCACCTGTGAGGTGCACAGCACAGGCTGGCACAGCATCAGTGCAGACACAGCTCAGCACCAGCGAGGGACAGGCTGGCACAGCATCAGTGCAGACACAGCTCAGCACCTGTGAGGGACAGCCTGGCACAGCATCAGTGCAGACACAGCTCAGTACCTGTAAGGGACAGCCTGGCACAGCTCAGCACCAGCGAGGGACAGCCTGGCACAGCATCAGTGCAGACACAGCTCAGCACCTGTGAGGGACAGCCTGGCACAGCATCAGTGCAGACACAGCTCAGCACCTGTAAGGGACCGGCTGGTGCAGCATCAGTGCAGACACAGCTCAGCACCTGTGAGGTGCACAGCACAGGCTGGCACAGCATCAGTGCAGACACAGCTCAGCACCAGCGAGGGACAGGCTGGCACAGCTCAGCACCTGTGAGGGACCGGCTGGCACAGCATCAGTGCAGACACAGCTCAGCACCAGCGAGGGACAGGCTGGCAGAGCACACTGAAGTTCCCCACAGTCTGCAGGCCCCTGCACAGCTCCTGCGGCACTGAGGGCCTTCCCTGCTGCCTGCAGCAGGCAGTGTAGCAATGCGAGTAATAGCGATGTATTACCCACAGTGTAGCAATTTGGGTAATTTCCCCTCGGCGAGCAAAAGCACTCCTTCCTTGCTCGTTTGGCCACACACAGGTGAGCACATCTTCACAGGAAAGCTGCCCTGAAGCAGCAGGCACAGGGCTGGTCCAAGAACTGCAGCAATTGCAGACACAACCCAAAAACCAACTTCAGATCAACAAGCAGCCCTGAATACACCTACAGCCTTACCTAAGGCAAGGTAAAAATCACTGGAGTGGTGTCAGGAACCAGCCCCAGGCACCACCACCATAGCTTGAAATACTGTGTCTAAGAAACACAGGCAAACCCAAAACATTTCTTTTGTTTACTTTAGGATCAGAGTGAAACAGATACGTTAGCAATTGCCCAACTCCATCCCCAACCTGCCAAAGCCTACGCCACACATAGCTTACTTCTAAATCTTTATTTGTTTTCTACACAGAGAAAACAGAGGAATGTTGAAGCAGCAATATTTAAACACACTAGCAAGGAGACATCAATCTGTGAGAGTGCACAAAGTGCAACATGGGGCCATTTGTGCTGCGGTCTCTGCTACAGGGCAGGGTGAGGGGAGCTCCAGGAACAGCCTCTTCAGACAGAAGGGAAAGCTCTATGCAAAGGTGGAGCCGTTCCAGCCCACGTTGGCAGCATTCATGTCGAAGTAGTTGATGTAGACCCTGCAGATGAGGTACAGGAAGAAATACAATGACCTTATTAACTCATTTATATAAGCTGGGATAACATAACAGGGGAGAGTGCTTCCCATTCTTCTGCTTGAAAAAGCATCAAGCTTCATCTTTACCAAAAAAACTGGTGGAGCCTCCAAACAGCTTCAGTATTTCTCAGTCCTCAAAACTGTACTTTTTCCTCTTTTTTTAAAATACAATTATTATGCAGTCAGGGACTGTCCAGACACCAGACAGATTTTGTTTTGCAGCCTGTCAAGAATTTCCGGAGATCAGCCCCTTTTGTTTCTGAGCCCTGCAGGCCCTCACATGTGTCACACAGACTGGCAGCCTTGGGAGTTAAGCATGCCCTCAGGCCTGGCTCTGCTGTCTCCCTTCAACCCTGATGGCACCAGGTTCTTCCCATCCTTCACAGCTGCACACAGGCATCGCTGAACTCCGCAGCCTGCAGGGGAGCTGCTCTCAGCCTGCTGCCTTCTGCTTCTGTCTCAGCTCCAGCCTGTTACTGCTCCTCGCTCCTGCTTTCAGCCTTGCTTCCCCAGAGGGCAAGACATCACACCTCAGAGGCAAAAGACACACTGGGCAGCTTGTCAGTGCTGTGGTGTTTTTCCCTACTCTCAGAAGCAGGAAGCCACTGAACAGGGGACTCTCCAGGGAAAGAGACAGGCACTGAATTCTTATGTGGACGTGAAAGTGCTGCAAGTAATCACTTGGAATTTTCCAAAACACATGGATTTATTCCTGGCATTTTAAATTTTTAAACAGACTTCTCAAAGCGGTTTCAGAAAGCCAGGTAAATATGGTTAAACCATGTCCCAGCCTTACCTGTCTGCAGATACGTGCAAGTGCTTCGAGATCAGATCACACAGCATCTTGGTGTAAGTCTTGTTCTGCTGCCCTCCTATTTTGCCGATGCTGTAGAGGCTGCAGAGCGCGCAGGGATCAGTGGAGCCACCAAAGGACATCATCTGGTCAGGTATGATGTGCACAGCTATGTACTGCGGGAGGGAAGCACTCTGTTACAGGCTGTCTGAAATGCCCTCTCCTGACGGAAATCTGCTTTAGGTACCAACTCTTCACAGAGCAGTTGTACTGGGGTCAGGCAGCTCTTCAGTGCTGCCCCCTGCGCCCCTCCCAGCCCCAGGGGAGGCTCAGGCCCGGCAGCCCCCATGGGGGGCACGGCCCTGGGGGCTGCGGGGACCCTCGGCCCGGCTCTGAGCTTTAGGAACGCGGCTGTGTGTGCACAAAGCCGCCGGCGCGGCAGGCGCTGCTGCCCGCCGCAGCCTCGCCACCGCGCGGGGCGGAGCGAGATAAAGGCCCCAGAACTGCCTGCGTGCCAGGGCTCACATCCCAAATCAAACCCGCCGGAGAGCCGGGCAGCGATTCCGTCACATCGGGCTCCTGGCGCTGCCGCGGTCTGGCCCGGGAGGGGCCGTGTCCCACGGCTGAGCCGGCGGGAGCTGCTCGGAGCGCTCGGTCTGCCCGAGCCTCTGCCCGGGTGCGTCCGCGCCACTGCGCAGCTCCGCCGCTCGAATCGCGACCGCCAGCACAGGCGCAGCACATCCCCGGCTACGTGAGCGCCGCGCCCCCGCCGGCCCGGTGCCGCTCCCGCCAGGGGCCGGGCATCGGCACACGCGGCGCCGCGGCGTGGAACGGGCACCAGCTCCTTCCCCCGGAGCAGCGGGGCCGCCGCCGCGCTGTGCGGCCGCCGCGGCCCGCCCGCCCCGGGCCCGCGGGAGCGGAGACGGCCGCGGGCCGCTCCGCGCCGCCTCTGCGCCGGGCCCGCCGCGCACGTGTCGCCCCGCTCCCCGCCCTCACCTGCGCGGGCTTGCCGGTGGCCTTGGCCAGCTGCTGGGTGAGGTCGCCCAACAGGCTGTCGGGCACGGCGTCCTTGCAGACGTTGGTGTGGATGGCGAACATGGGCATGGTGGCGGCGGTGGGGGTGGCGGGGCCGGCGATGCAAACCTAAGCGAGCGGCGGGACCGACACAGTGGAGCGGGGAGGCGTCAGCGGCGCTTTTAGTGCGCCAAGCCGCCCCGGACGTAAAGCGGCCCCGCCCGGCAGGCAGGGGAGGGAGCGGGGCGGGGACACACGCTCGCACCGGCTCCGCGGTCCCCGCAGTGCCGTGCTGACTTTTCCCGCGGCTGTCTCTCGACCGGAGGTTCCCCCCGCTCCGCCGTTATTCCTTGGCTTTGTTTCTATTATTGAACATTTTTTGAGGGTTTGTTGCAGGCTCCTTCCTGGAACGGAGTCCGGGAGCGCTGGGCAGCTCATACATAACGTGGTATGAACGCTGCGATAGTAGCTCTGGGGCACTCCCACTGATTTCTGCGGGATTCGGCCCAGAGAGGGATATAGGCCTTGGCTTGGCGGTTGCAAAAAGGGATGCTTGCCCTGACTCGGAAATTTTTTTCCTTTTCAAAATAAAGTAACACTTGTAGTGGTTTTGCTTGATGGTGTGTACAGCTTTAGCTCGGTGTAAGCAGAAACGTGTGCCTTGCTGCCTATTAATTATTATCTAATGTATTTCAGTCGAATTAAAAGTTACCTATTGCTCCTCAGCCTCCCACTTTGCGCATCATATTTTTCTACTGGAAAAAGGCAGAAGTGAGTTTCGTTTTGCTTCGGAATGAATTGGTGCGTGCCTTTTGGGAGGTGAGAGGCAGCAGAGCCGAGCCGCATGCTGCGCTGTGTGATGTGGTGCACGTAGGCTGCCAGGGCATGGCTCCCCACCCTGGCTCTTGCCTGCCCCGACGGCGGCAGCGCTGCTCTGCTCACGAAATGACTCACAGGAAGGCTAAATAGGATCTGGCCCGGAGCCCTCTCTGCCCAGACATTGCACACACAGCAGTCGTGCTGCTAGAGAGCTTGCCCATGTTACAGACATGAACACATCCATGTTACAGACGTGGACACTCGTAGCCCTGAATGAGGAGTCAGGGATGGTGTCATACAGGAGTGCATTGGAGTGACACGGGTTATAATGCTGAGGACTGGAGCACTTCCTTTTCTAGTGATTAACAGTGCTTAAGAACAGCCACTAAGAACTGATTAAGTTTCCCCTCTTTGATATCCTCAGCTCCCTGCTGTTGCATAGTCCTACTTATTCCTCTCACCTTCCTGCCTCCCAGGTTTGTTGCATGGAGGTGGTGTTTTCTACCTGTGCAGGGAGAAAAGCTTGAGAGCAACTTCACAACTGGTGTGCTTGGCCTGTGGCCTGCCAGCCCAGAGTGGCAGCCCCTGGCTATGCTGCCACTCGATGGAGAGACATCTGCAATTTAATTCTCTTTTGCCTCCCTGACTAAGAAAGACATTTTCACCAAAGCAGCTTGTTATCCCAACAAAGCATTTTTATTGATTGAGGTTCAGGTCTGTATTTAAAGTCTGTGGCTGCAAAGCAAAGCTGTGGTAGGGACACAATGGGATGTTAACAATAGAGTTCAGAAAACGGGTGTTAGAAGGTTTGCTCTTCCAGAAAAAACTCACAATACACTTAACTATAGAATTTCAGGAAACATCTCTACTCAATCTTTTATTTTACTTTGGAAGCAAATGTTCTTATCTGACCAAGGGCTTAAATAATAAATATTTGGATGCAAATTTTCCTTTCATAATTAATTCACCACTTCAGTCCCTGGGAATTACTGTGGCTTGCTGTGCCTCTGCCTCATTCTGAGCTGTGCTCTAATCTTCACTGTCACTACAAATTGTTCAATGGATGAAAAGGGGAGGGCACAGCAGTGAACAGTGGTTTTTTCCACTCACTCTCTCTGCCTGTGCTGAGGCCTGGGAGACACAGCACAAGTTTTCCTGCTACTCAGCTAGATGTCCCTGTAGTGTTAGGCCTAAAGAAGACCTGGACTGCAATCAATTCCTTTTAAATAAGAGATAACAATGTTATCTCTCCTTTTGAAGGGAGGTCCGTGTGCAACATTTGCACATCTATTAACTTAAATATATCTTGAAACCAGGTCAAGATATATTTATCTCTTCTTGAGATGTATCTCTTGAGCATGGACAGGACAAAGGCAAAAGGAATATTCATATATGACTGAAGTTTTTTGAAAGAAAAGCTTCTCTTAAGAGAGTATTTTGAGAAGACACCCTTCATCTCAACTACAGTTCTTCCCAGCATAACAAGAAGGTTTCAGACATAAGATTTTTGATGCATTTTTATTTAAGCAGCAGGCAAGATATTAAACAGCAGTGAGTAGCAGCATTTGGCAGATGCCAGAAGGTGACTGGAACTGCAGTTCTCAAACCATGATGAGTGTTCAGGGATAAGCTGTGATCACCTAAGGGCACCTCAAGCAAAGGTGGTGTTATTCCAGCCCACATTGCCAGGACTGATGTCAAAGAAGCTGATGTAGGTTCTGGAAGGGAAGACAGGCACCATTATCAGCTGAGAGCAGAGTGCTGCAGGCTGGTCAGGGTGCTCCTGCACCAGGACACATGGCCATGCTGCAGATCTCCCCATGGGCTTTATCCTTCCAAGGTCTTACACTCCTTTCCTGTTGGGAAGGACGGATAAATATAATTATTCACAATAGTACAGCCAGGATGAAAACAATCCTCCCTACTGGCTGGACAATACCCTTACCTACAGATAAGTCCAAAAGTCAAATGGACTGTTCCATCTCAACCCCCAAAATGTACTGTTCATCCCACACCTGTAACCCTCCCCTGAAACATCAGGTGTCTGTGACCCCATTGGCCCAAGTCTTGTTCCAGCCCACCTTGAAGCCCCCTGAGAAGGGGCTCCGAGGGGCCAGACACCCTCTGGGAACTTTCTTCCCCCCTCTTGGAACTTCCCCCCTCTTGGAACTTCCCCCCTCTTGGAACTTCCACCCTCTCCTAGAACATCCTCTCTACCCCTTGTCTCTCCCCTCTCCGATCCCCTCAGGCCTCAGCTGCGTCTGGCAGCTCCAAGCAAGACCTTTCACCAGCCCTAATACACCTGATATCCCAAGAGCAGCCTGCAGAGATCTCTGTCTCCATCCAAGCTGTCCTGGAGCCCAGCATTCCCTACACTTTCCTCCTGCCCCTTTTAATGCCTCATCCACTTGCATCCTGGAGTTCCTAGTGATCACGTTCTTGTGTCTGTACCTGGTCTTTTGCACATGATGTCTGTGGGTACATACATGCCTGAACCTACATCATTTTAACCAAGGAATTCTGCAGCTTCTGGACAGTGGCATTGCAGCTCATGCAGTGGCTCATTTTTTCTTTTTAGCTGGGGAGTTGCTCAGTTGACTTGGCATTTAATCTCTTTAATCAGCACATTAATAGGGAACACCAAAGGACCAGCCTGGGATGAATAGTTTTAACAGTCTGTGGAAAGTCATGTCAGACAAATTGCTGTATGAGCTCACCTGTCAAATGGTATTTTCAGTTGTTTGCTCATCAGATCACAAAGCAGTTTGGACCAGACCTTGTTCTCCTGCTCCCCTCTCTTTCCAATGCTGTAGAGAAAGCACATAGCACAAGGGTCTGTGGAGCCACTGAAGGACATCACTTGATCAGGAGAGATCTGCTAAATACTGTTGGAAGAAGAAAATTAATATTATTTTCTTTGCTGTATTAAGAAAAGTTTTGAAAATCCAGGAAGGCATTTATGTACCTAAACTGCAGTGAAAATAAGTGCATGTTTTTGATATGCAAGGCTTAAATTTGTTAACATCTTACTGTCTAGATTTGCATTCTACTCCAAGATACTCACTCCTGTGTCAAAGGCCAGTACAAAGACTCCACAGTTTTTAGGCTTCCTAGTCCAGGTGCTCCAGGAGCTCAGTGACCTGTAATATCTGCAGCACCTCCTCCGAGCCACCAGGCTCTCCCTGCCTGTGTGGGAAGGTCAGGGGCGAGGGGGTGTGCAATGGTCCTGCTGCCGCATTGCGTTCCAGAGAGATTTTGCACCTCACTGGCTCCTGCTGCAGTCTTCCCTGCTGAGGTAAATGTGAGCTGACACAGCAGAGGCCCAAATCAACATCCACCTCGTTAAACAAAATACAGCCTAATCCTGCTTTTGTTCTTGATATCAGGAAAACAGAAGAAAGTATCTATGTTAATATTAATGACCTGCCCACGATTTTCCCTGCTGCTAATACACAGTGTCAGATCCACACACTGGGGAATCTGGGGATCAGTTCCTCTGGCATTCATCTGGCTTCTGTGCTGTTCTTACCCACGTTTATTAGCAGCGCATCGTTGGAACTCAGCAGCAATTAACCCTCTTGGTAAAACAAGCTAGCCTGAGTACCAGGAGTTGTCTGGGTAATTAGTTTTGGCCATCATTTACAGTTTGTTTGGGTGTAAGGTGCATCGGACCACAGCAGTACAGGATAAGCCAAGGAGATCCTGCTGAGGCACCACTTGCTTGGCCCTGTTCTCCCCTGTCTGGACACCACGTGCTCTTGACTTGATGCCAAACGTAGGTACATCCATGCCTTTAACTCCTCCCCAGGAAGCAGGTTATCACTATTAAAAGAAAAATAAAGTTGAGGCATTAATCAGCATTATTTTCTTCTTAGACCAGTTTGAAAATATTTGGAACCGTTCTTCCAGTAGGAAAAAACTCAGTTTGATTAAAAATCTGTATTTTTCCCAAATGGTAGTTTTCTGTGAGAGGAAAGCTCTGCATTCCAGCCCACCCTAATCCTTTCCTTCTTTCTGTGTTATAACTAAGAGACTCTCCCTTTCCTATTGCCTCCTTTGTCACGAAGAGCTTGTATGTCCTCTTCAGAAAAATCTCTTTGTTATTCCCTGTATATTTCTAAGTCCCATTACATATCCCTTCCACACAGCTGCACAAACCTGTTCCAGCTGTATCCCAGCCCTGGCCTCTAGCTTTATATTCAGAAGCTGTTATGAAAGACACACCCCTTGCCCCCCCCAACAGCAAATACTTGTTTGCTAGACTGATAAAAACTGGCTTTTTAAAAGGGGGATAAAACACATCAGTTTTACATAAGAATTCAATGTGTTCAGGTGTCCCAGTGCATTGAGAAAGGTTTGCTGGGGAGCCCTCAGAGCCCTTTCTATAGGCACCTAAACTTATTTCTTTCTACAGTTTCAAAGCATCACTCCCGAAGCAAAATAAACATTTTCTGAAAATGGGCTGTGAATATGCACAAAGGGTGCTTAAACAAGTGGCTACAGATCCATAGCCAATTCACTAAAGCTACTGCTGCTACAGCAACTGAGGTACTGCTCATGTTATGAAGTTTACAGCTCAGTAGAGAAGTTTTCTTTTGCTTTTTCATGTTCTACAACCTTCAGTACAACTGAAACAGTGACTAGTGACCAGTTGGTATTAAGAAAATAATAGCCTTATAAATCCCTATAAGACCCTCAATACCAGTATTTCAGGACTTCCCTTCAGTAGCATATGCCATATGATTTGGCAAGTAAAACCCCTCCAGTTTGGTAGTGAAACCAGCAGGCAGTTTTTACTCTGGTATTTTGACTCAAATAGCAGGATGCCACACAGATATTTTTGCCAGATGTCCAGGCAAGCTGAATAAATAATTTTTGTACTTCAGCTGTAACCACCAGGCTACAGGCAGTTAGGTGGCAAATGACAGGCACTTAACAGGACTCAGCAAGGAAGTGGAGGTTGAGGTTTGCTTTTCAGTCAGCCAGATTCTTGAGAGGTATTCACAGGTTCCTGTGGATACATCCCCACATACACCCAGTGTCTTCACATACAGATAACTACATGCAGTAACATCCTACACAAAGCTAGGTTGAATACTCCAGGTTTTGAGACCTCAAGGAAACTAAGTTACAGTAAACAAGTATTTGATATTCTCCCAGAGAGAAGACTGCAAATCCTGGTGAGTCATTAGCTATATTAGTTTATCAAGGCTATCACTCAGAAACACTCATTGCACAGGCACAGCTGACTGAAGAAGGAAAACATTTCAGGAAATGGACTTACCTGTGCTGGTTTGCCCAATGCTTTTGATAATTGTTGGGTGAGCTCCCCTGCAAAAGATTCCAGAAGTTTATCCTGCTTATATTTTTGTTTGTAGTGAATTTAGGCATCTTTGGATGATGAGCAGGTTTTTTTTCAGCTCACCTTGTTCTCAGCTTTATTTCTAACTCACCCACAAGCTGGCTCAGCCCTCTGTGCCAGTAAGGACCTCAGGAGCCTCTGAACAGTCAGTGGTACCTTCAGCAGGTGCATTGAGAGGGGTGGGAGTGTCTCAGGAGAGGTGAGGCTGAATGTGCCCCAATCTGCAGGCTGCTAACACAGACAGCCAGTGCCCTGGCCAGGGAGGGAACCCAGCTTTTGCATTCTGCAACCAAAGCATCCAAAATGACCCCTCATGTTTGGATACAGCCCAATCATGAAACCAGGGGAAAAACAAGTGTTTCAGAGACTGAGTGTAGGTTGTAATGCACCTCTTTATGAAAGCCTAGTAATTGTTTCTTAAAAATTGAGTGAATTATTCAGTTGTGAGGTCTGAAACTTTCTCTGTGGAATAGATCATAACAAAAAAACCCCAGTGACACATGTTGTGCAGACCTTTCCTGAACCGTGACTAAGTCACCACAAAGATGCCTTAAAATCAGAGTCTTGATTTTCTCCGTGGTGATGGATTCTATGTGCTCAGCGAAGGCTTGTTTTCAACTTGCTCTTTTGTTGTGCAAATAGTTCCATAGCAGTCATAACTCCTGAGAGATAGGAAATCCACAGGCTTCCTGACATGAGCAGCTTTTATCCAAACTTTGGGGAGTGTGTGGCAAGGCTGGGATCAGTTCTCACTGCTGCCCAGAAGAGCCCTACATGAGAGAAGTGATTTAGGAGGATCACAGGGTATTTGGTAGGGGGTGTTCACAGTGAGATGTGTGGGGAAAGCAGGTTGAAAATGCTGGTGGGGATAAAATAAATGGCTTGACCATCTCTCCATGTTAAAAGTGGTGGGTGTCTTTATGCCCAGTAGTTTCTGAGTTAAGGAAACTTTTCATTTTCTCCAGGCTTTCTATAGCTTGCACTAAATGATTGTATTGAACGGTGTAATTGAAGTAAACACTTTTAATTTGTGAAAACTTCAGTATGAATGTGCTGAAGCTGATTGTGTTCAAGGTCAGATTGATTGGGCCCTGAGCAACCTGACCTAAATGGTGGCATCCCTGCCCATGGCAGGGGGGTACAACTAGATGATCTTTAAGGTCCCTTCCAACCCAATCCATTCTATAATTGTGTGGTGTACGTTGATTTTAAGTTAGTTCCTTCACTCTAGCACCCTTGCTGTAAAAAGTCAGCAAATAAAAAAGTCAGGAGATGAACTTACCGTGTCAGTGTTCATTTACAGCCCACGTTTGTGGATTGTGCTTCCTGTATGCGTTCTGAAAATAATGAAAACCTTAAAAAAACCCCAGAAATAAAATCTGGTTTACAAAAAACCTTTTCTGGGTATATTTCCTAAGCCAAAGTGTTAAAAACAAACACAAGTGACACCTCCATCTGTGAGGAGCTTTAGTTTGTAATATTGATTCATTTTTTTTTCAGTGGTTAGAGGAAGGCAGGTGGCATGATCCAAAGTGTTTGGTTACAAGGCATTTTCTACTGGTTATTGGTCACTTGGAAAAACTTAGACTATTTCCAATGAACTTCACAACCTATTTTTACTGCTGGGTACAATAATCAGTCATTATTCCCAGCTTGCTTACATAACAAGAAAAACATTTCCAAAACAAACTCTTTCTTCTGTGAAAACATCTGATGTAATTCCCAGAAGTTGATGCACCAGGTTGAAAATCAGTTCCTTAGACACCAGAGATGCTCTCCAGAGCCTGCTTTATTTTATAGCAGTCATTTTACTTCATTTGCATGCAAGAATATCTCAGTTTAGCAGGTCCTTCTTCCTGCCTAGAGTTACTGGAGTGTTTTCCACTGAGATTTCTATTACATCTCTAGGACTGTTGCACAGCAAATTTCACTTTCAATACTTTTTTCTGTTGTCATGCTGAAACCTGTTTTCCTAATTTGAGGTGTTAATTTTTAGTCTGTATTGTCTTGGGTCACCCTAAACTGTGGTTTAGCTTTCCCTCTGCATGCCTGTCAGCCAAATACTTTAGACTTCTATGCTTCCCCAGCCTCATGATTGTTGGTTATTGGACTTTCCTCATAATTCTTTACCTTGGTTCATCTTCTTAAAATATTTCACTTGTTCCTTTGTATTTCTGATACTCTTCTCTGAAATTTTTGCCAGCAGGTTCCTGCTTATGAGATACTTAGTGTTACTCTAGAATAATGAGTTTCATATCTATCTTAAAAAAGAAAAAAAACCAAATGAGACAGAAGAGCTTGCAGACTGTTTTTAATGTTTCCTTTTTAGTTCTGTTGCAACATTATTTCCTGTCTTTTCTAAGAGATGCAAATTTCTTCTCTGAATATTCAGAGCTTGGTGCAAGGCAACTGTTCCTTAGGAAAGTTATTTTCAGAGGTTTCTTTTTTCCCAAAGTTCAGCTTGTTGAATTCTGCTTTTATTTCCATGATTGACTTTCCCTTGGTCTCAGGAAGATACAGGTAGATGAAAATTGCTGATAAAGCAAGGGTTCCCAAAAAGATAAGGAAGCAGAAGGGTCCAAGATTAGCCTGCAGGCAGAAAAGCAAGACAATGTAAGGAAAATAAGAAACTTATTTCTATTTTCCTGCCCTTTAGTGCAAGCCTGTGTCTTAGGAGTTCAAATTCAAAGGTGTGCTCAATACACAGTCCAGGACAGGTACCAAACCAGGAGTTCCCAGTGGCCATGTTTGACCTGAGTCCAATTGCTGCTCCTGGGGAATTTCTGAGCACGTTTGGTGTTTGGACAGAGTGCTAAGCTTTGCATGCCATTGCAATTTATTGTTATTATTTTGCCCCTTTTTGGCATTCAGAAATACATTAGCCTGGAAAGAGGGATTCTCTGAGAGTCACTTACAACAATTACTGGAAAAATCATCCCAAGTACAAACAGTCCCATCCAGTTGATGCAGCCAACAATCAGAAAGGCTGATGGTCTGTATGACTGGCTGAAGATTTCAACCATCACAGATATGGTGGCTCCAGCTGAAAAAGCAAAGCCAAACACACACCAGGTTTATTTATTTCCTTGCTTTTGCTGAAGCTCCTCCAGTGGCAGAGAGGCCAGACAGGCAGAATAGGTCACCTGTTGGGAGATGGCCTCTGCTGTGAGGGTGAAAGACCTTGATTCCAGAAATGGAATCCAGCAGTTAATTTAGGTTCCTCTTGTATGTACTTAGTCATTTTTTTGGTATCAGTGGATCTGTGCAGTTCCATATTGCACTGGCAGTTGTTACTGGTGCAGGGTTTATAAAACCAGCCTCCCTTTTGGCTCCTGTGTCCACTTCCACCTGGAGCATGTTGGGAGGCATAAGTTTAACTTGCTAAGTTTTTGAAGATGATTACTAAAACATACCTGGCAATGTCTAGAATCCTGTTTTTAGCTGATTAATTTAGAAATTGTTTTGAAATTTCTATCTCACACCCTCTGGAGAAGATGATACTCTTTTAAATTATTCAGATCATGTGATCAGCAATAAAATTTGAGGTGTCTGCATCCTTTTCCATCTTTTTCTTCATCCACTTCTACATGTGCATCTCCCACTTGTATGTGTCTGCCCTTCCCTCCTTAATTTCCAGAACTTTTTAGCAAGACACCAGCCTGTTCTTCCTCTGCCAGTTGTGTTGCCAACCAATACAACACCAAATTTCCTCCCAGCATAACCACTGGTGTACTCACATGGTCCAACTCCAAAGAAGACCACGAACAGGAAGATCAAGATAACACTGAAGTAATGCATCCAGAAAAAACGATGCTAAAAGTGAGAAACCAGTGATACCAAACCATTAGACACAGGACATAATAGCAGAGCTCTGTATTTCCTGCCACTGGCTGAAGTTTTTATACATCTCCTGCAAGTTAAGAGCAGAAAAAGGGGTTGGGGAAGTGGCTTGGAGGCTGCTGCCTCTTTACCTGCAGTGACAGGGTCATGGTGAGCAGTGCCAGCACAGAACACATCAGCAAATATCCACCCCAGAGCAGCACCTTCCGCCCAAACCGGTCTATAAGGGTGCTCTGGAAAGCAGAAAACATGTCTCACAAACCCCAGTCCTCAAAGGAAATAATTCCTCCTCTCTCCATGTGTTCTGTGCAGAAGACTTGTCTAAATAATAGCCAGTGTCATTTGACAGTCTCTTAGTTCCTAAGGAATTTGATTGATTTCTTCAAAACAAATTCATTATTAATTAAGCTGTGTTTATTAGTCAATCCTAAGGTGTTTTTAGACAGTTCCCTCTTTTGTATGCTGGCATATGTCAAATTGTCCACATGTATGTACACACATCTAATCCAGGACATCAGAAGATTATTATTTTGCAGAAAAAAGTGAGTCTAAAGACACACAGTCATGCAAATAATTTGGGGGGAAAATTTCTTTGTATCCTGCCTGTGGTTTTGCAGAAGCAGGAAGATGTGGCTTAGGTTATGCAAAATTTCCCTGAGCCCAGTAATAAGAAAGGAAAGGCACAGTTGTTGACCACATTAAACTTTTTCCTTCAAACTCAAATCTGAAAAAACTTACACACAGTATGGTGGATAAGCACTCACACAGCCCAACTCCCAGGGACATGTATGGGATAAGGTATTCTTCAAACTTGGCTGTATGGAATACTTCAAAAGAATAGAAGTATATCTGAAAAAAGCAGAGAGGAAATTAATCTGTGAAAAAAGGTGTTGCATTTGAGATACAATTCTAAGCTGGTTTAATAATTTTGTCTTTCAGAAGTTTGTTATGCTGCCTCTCTTGTCCTGGGGATAAAGAGAGCACTCAACTGCATTTATTCCACAGAGCTGCAGCGTGGTCATGACAATCATCAAAACGTAGAGCTGCCAGCGCAAAGATCGCTCTTTTAGCACTTCCAGGACACGCAAGGTTTTCGTGCTCGCCGCCGCACCCTTCTCCTTCATAATGTCATCGATTTCTGCTTGGTAGTCTCCATCCCCCCAGAGCTTCCTGATGGCTGTAAGGGAGAAAGAAGGAAGTGGATTATCCTGCCAGGATAGCTCCATTAGGGATGGTTGCATTCAACCCTTTAGGCTGCCTGTCCATTGCAGTAGGTGCTGGTGCTGCTTCTGCCATTTGGTTGCTGCAGGGGCAGTGGGCAATTGGAAGGATTTTGTCTGTCTGGTTGTCAGTATAGCACAGCTTTCTAATGTGGAGTTTACTGTGAACGAAGTAAACATTTGAGTACTTTTTATTTAACAATACAAAACGGGACAGCTGCCTGAACCATTTCCTTTAAAGAAATAAAGCAGTGCCCACCAAGGTGGGAAATGTTAGGAGTGCTGATACACATCTGTGTTTCTTCACTTCATGGACTGAATGAGGCTGAGTGAGGCCCAGGTTAACACAGCCATTGCCACGGGTACCTCAGCTGTGAAACTGCCTGTGCTCCATGGCACTGCACCGTGCAGCACAGCTCTGCCCTGCCTCCTCTTCTGCAGAGGCTCTCCCTGTGGCGCAGCAGATGAAGGGAAGTAAGTGAGGAAAGCAGACACTCTACCTTTCCTGCAGGCTTCCTCATTACCCTTCTGTATCAGGAGGTAGGATGGTGAATCAGGGAAAAATGGGAGGGTAACCAGTTGAATCAATGCTGAAAGTCCACTAGATGCTAACAACCATGGCCACAAAGCTTCGCTTCCTAAAATCTCCCTGGAAAGTGTATGTGAAACAAAATTATGCTGAAATAACGGAATGAATGTTCAGGAAGTTTTTCTGAGTGATAAAGATTGCTCAGATTCCATTCAAGGGTTCACTGGAGTTAAGCCCTGAATTTTAGTTGGGCAGATTTCACATATTTGGCTATTTTTATTTCTGACAATTTATTTTAAAGGAATTATCTGATATTTTGAAAATCTTTCTGAATATCATTAGAACCCAGTATAATGTCTAGAGAGCTGATGAGACTCATTTGACCACTGCTTGGCCACAAGAGCCAAACATTTGCTAAGACTTTTCGTGTTAGTATAATGAATTTTGAAGGGGAAGTCTCCTAGTTAAAAGAGTGTGGAAATAAAAAGAAATCAAATTATGAGTGAATAATTTTCTGCCTTCTATATTTAAAACTGTATTTCCCTCAAATACAATCAATATTTTTCTTCTGGCATAAGCTAAGGCATGTTTTGGGGAGGAGGAGAGTGTTTCTCAGTCACTGACTAGGGAGAGGGTAAAGTTAGAGAAACATTTCTACTTTTAGTGTAACGTGATAGAAAAATTGGAGAATTTACCGTAGTCCAACAACCTGTCCTGTGAGTTTTCCCAGGGTCAGAAAAACAGCAACAGTGGAGTTGGTAAACCCACGCAACTTCTTGGGTGAAATCTCTCCTACATACTGAGGATGTATATTGAGAGAAAAACCTTGAACATACAAGAGGATAAATAGCAGTTTAAATATTTAGAAAAGCTTAGCTTTTGACTCTTCTCTCTTATATTGTTTGCATTCACTCTGCTATTTCGATTACCATTTTTTTGCAAAAGAGATGCTATTTTTCACTTTTAATAGTGCCTGGTTTTGTTTGCTTTAGAAACCATTCTTCAAGGATGGCTGTAGAGACAAGCCCAGGACAGCAAGTCAGGGGCCTGCAGGATGCAGGCCATGGTGACATACCTGCACCAATGCCATAGAGAAAACGCCCAACCAGAACCATCTCAAAGGATTTGGCTGTTTTACTGAGGGCCATGAAAAGTGCAGCTACCAACATGATCAGGTTGGTGAACATTTGACACTTTTTCCTAAAGGACAAAAAAAAAAAAGTCATTGAGAATTTAGTGTGAAATGAGAACCTCTTGTACTCTTTTGACTACTCTTGCTGTGACAGGAAGCATGGTACAGCCGTTCCTCCTGTTTTGAGGAATGGCTGAAATAATTTCAACTTAGGATATTCAAAATGTCTCTTTAAAACTTTAAGATCTTTTAGATTTGAGTTAATAATTTTTTTAGGTTAGAATTTAAAGTTTGTTGGCATTTCCACAGTACAAGTAGGGAGAAAGATTGAAGGACTGGCCCAGTTTGTCATCAAGATTTTTGATGTGGCTATAAGTCTTCATAAAATGTCAGGTTTTTCCCCAGAAACAGAGTCCACTGGTTCCATTCTAGAATGGCTCATAATAATGACACTCCTGGTTAAATGGGTGCTCTGAGATGGCAGACAGAGTTTTTTGGAGGCATATTTCATTTCAAAAGTTACTTGTGAGAATTGTGGGCTGGTGTGTTCACCACCCTGGTGTCTCAGGCTCCAGATCTTTTGCACTCAGATGTTTTGCTGTGACACTTGTTAGAGAAGACCCCCCTTGCACACATTGAGGATCACAGAGACTCTGTGTTTAGGCTGTGATTCAGCAATTGGGCTACCACGTGTTAAATAACCCATGGGAGAGGTCATGGTCCTGCTTCCAGCTTTGGGAGACTCTCAGCGTGTGGGATGAGGCAGTGTCCCACAAGAAATTTCTTGGGGGCACTTACCTGTTAGGAAAGAACACAATGGCAGCAGGTTAAGATGGTTTGTTGAGACCCAAATGAGGGGCCCCTGGATCAGTGTGTTGTGGAGCAGATCTTTAAGTGGGTCACACCAAGAAGATATGTTTGCCAATTTCTCTGCAAATGAAATTAGTGGTGTTACACACAAGGCACCAAGAACAGACCAGACTGGTGAGGAATCCTTCCTTTGTCCAGTGGCAAAGATAGTTTGGAACTAGCTTTCAGTAAAATGGACTGTCAAGAGCAGAGACGTTTCTTGGATATTTGTTTTGGTGCTGATTATATCTTTACAGTGAAATTACAAGCAATTTTTTTCTCCCCTCTCTATATTTTCACAATAGTAGATCTGAATATTTAATGTAATGTCACCACCCTAAAATGAGTGCATTTAAATGGAAGTCTGACTCTTCTTTCACACATAAGGATGTTTTCCAGGTGCTTGAGTAATTGCATAGAGTGTGTTACCACGCAAGGCACACAGCTCCTTTATTGGAGTTTGTAAAGCTTGGCAGATCTTATGAGAATGATAGGGTACCTTGAAGAGAATGTGACCCTGTGCCACTACTCCCAGAGGCACTGGTGATGTGATGATGCCTGCAGCCCTTCCAGAGCACAGTTCCCTGGGGAGGGCAGATAAATAGGACAGAAGGCTGCTTGGAAAAAGTGGATGTGCCAGGAAACCAAATCAATTGTCTTCAACAGGGCTGCTTCAACCAAAAAAGAAGGCACTTATTTGTCCACCTTGGTATTTCCCTGTGCTTTCTGTCTGCTGAGCTGTTACAAGAAACACTTACTTCCTGTATTTTGTAGTCAGGTATCCACAGCAAAGGCTTCCCAGGAATCCTCCTATCCCATAAACAGCCACAATGAAGGACCAGAGCAGCATGATTGTCTCAGGGTGGAGGGGAGAGCCATGTCGATCTATCCAGGTTTCATTTATAAACTTCCTGATGTACTGAAAAATAAAACCAGATTTGCCTGGATAATGGGTTCACATTTGGTTGTTGTACTTCAGATCAAGCCTGTGGTTCTCATATTAGACTTACTTTGAGACTTTTTTAGTAAAACAATTGAGATCACACTGCAGATTTTTCAAGTCTGTATCAGTCAGAAAGTTTCATGGTGAGCATGCTGAGAGCTCATTTTGTGCCCTCCTTTGGAGTCTTGTACTCTCATGGCAGGAGCTTATTTCAAACAGAAAGTGCTCTCCAGCTCTTTAAAGGAGAAAAAGTTCTCTACACATGTGATGTTACTGTCAGCCAAAGCAAAGGTCTAAGCATATCAGCTGGGATGTGTGGGAGAACAGAGGCTCTCACCTTTGTGTTTTCAGCCTCAGAGAGATGGCCACTTACCACAGAAGGATAGTTGATGACAGAAATATGGAATCCATATGGGAAACTGCCACCAATTCCCAGCACTAAGATCATTTGAAGTAGGCCCTGGAACTGAACCTGCAAAGCAAAAATAAAGTGCTCCATCAGCTTCTCCCTACTCTAGTTTTGTGCGAGTCCAGAGACTTTATAGCCATACTGGTCCTTCCTCTTTGTCCACTTCAGATCCTTTTGAATTTAAACATTTTTCAAAATCCCTCTAATCTGCTGCCAAAGCACAACCATCAGCCACAGTGCCAGAGCAAATAACATGGGTGTAAGGTGATAATCCATAACTCTGCTTGCAAGAAGGAAAATGAGCTTGAAAAGGTGTTTCTGATAGTACAATTCTCACTGTCTGCCTGCAACAGCTGACAGGTTGGCTGGATAAAGGTGTCAATCCTGGACATGGGGAAGAGGGAATCAATCTCTTGTCTGCAATGGACAGCAACCAATGTACACCAAACCATAATGTATGATGACACGTATCACTTCTTCCCTTTTTAAGATTATGGAAACTCTTGATGGATTATATTAATTGTCTTTTGCTGAAGTGAAGAAAGTAATTTATTTAAAAGTTGATGTCATGATTTCTTAGCCTTTTTCTGTACCATTACTATATTCATGATTTTGGAAAGTAATCAGCATGCTTAATATTTAGTATTGTTTTCAGTAATGTAGAAGACAGTAAAGTATCACAGTCAATGGTGGAAGAGCTAGAGCTGTTGTTAGATTTTAATTTAATTTAACTTCATTTCATTTCATTATTTAATTTAATTTAATTTCATTTCATTTCATTTCATTTCATTTCATTTCATTTCATTTCATTTCATTTCATTTCATTTCATTATCTTAATTTTATTTTCTTATATAGAAAGACAATGCAACAGGATCTTCATGGCCCCAAGCCCCATTGCTCTTTGTGATGTTTAAACACAGAAAGGAAAGATGGTCTCTGTAACAAAGGAATTTAAAATCTTTAAAAAAAGAACCTGAATCTCTAGTATTATATACTCTCTGTCTTTTGTAAGCCAGAGGCTGAGGAGATGTGAGCAGGTACTCACCAGGTTGGAGAGGAAGGCAGCCATCTCCTATGAATGAGCTGATGCCTGCTGCTCTCTGCTGCTACCTGCCAAAGGAGCCAAATGCTCACATTATACAACAGCAGTGTCAGTGAACTAGTCCCATTTACTGAAGTTAAATTTTACTTCAGAGGTTTTTGAGTTAATTACACATATTCCAGCTGTCGTACAAAGTTTAGGATTGCTGGATTAAATATTTCAACCAACGGTTATGTGTAGGCCAAGTAAACAGGATGGTGTCCCTTGCAGGACCTGTGTACTTCATGAACTCTGTCTTCTACTAGGGGGACAGGGGACTGAGAAAACCACCTTAAACAGGATTCCCATCATCATAACCTGCTCACTTCTCAGTATAAGTGAGAAACTTAGAGTTCTCTGTTGGGAATCTTAGATGGAGCTTGGGCAGTGGACTCCAGAACTTTGACACATAACAAGAAAGAGCTGTTCTCTCTCCAGGTGACAGCAACTGGAGCACATCGTGACTTAATCATTACTGAAAGGAACTGAACTACTCCATGATTTTGAAATGGGGTGCAAACATAAGAATTCTACAGTGGTACACCAGGTTTGACCAGCCAAGTGTTCAGTAGATGATTTTTCTTTGCTAGTAGAGAGAATAATTCACCATGCAGTTTTGTCTGGCATTTTCACTACTCAGTGTACTTATTCTGTGTCTGCCATGAAAAATAAGGTTCTTTTGAAGCTGTTTTCTAACTTCCACAACTGGATTGATGTCTGTTTCTTCTGAGAGGAAATTCTCAGGCTTTAACTTCAGTTCTTTCACATTTTAAGAGGGTCTTGAATGTATTCAGTTGGTAAATGGCTTAGTTATTACTTGCCATTTACACTTCATTTGAAGGAGAGGATGAAGAAATCATACAGGGCTTAGTTGATGCAAGCAGGCATATTTACTAGAAAATGTTTCATAGGCAAAGCATATTGCTGGATTCCCTAGCTAATGTTTGAAACGTAGTGTATGGCACTATACAACCATTTCTCCTGCCACTTGGGTCTCATCATGGCCTTGACTTGTTGATTTGTGCTGAGAGTTATGGAGGGATTTTTTTTTTCAGCTGAGGTTCTCCAGCAGATAAGGTGTTGTTAGAGTGCAAATGAGACTGTCCCTTTGATGCTAAGAATTAATTTCCTTTTCTGTGAAGTTATATGAAGTTGAAACAACATGAAGTGTATCTGACCAAGGGACGAAATTCCATGTTAGCTTCTGGTACCTGCCTTGCTCAGATGATATTGGGGGGACACACAAACAGGCAGTAACATGTAAACTTCAGCATGGGACACTCCTTCTCAAATGCAGCCTGTTGCACATATTTTTCAATGTTTTACTTCACCCACTTCTACTTTGTTATTTATACTTATATTGGAACTAACACTTTTTGCTCTCAGACTTTAATTTAGAATTCCTGCTTTGGGTAGGTTGAATCTTCCTCTCATAACTCTCTTCCTGTGTAATGTCTTTTGCATTCATGGTGATTAGTGACTGTGCTGTTACTGCTTAGACTGTTTTGAGACCCCCTTTGTTAGATGTGCAGTTCCATAATATCTTACAGATATCCTTTAGTCAGATTTGCGCTCAGGACAGTGAATCTCACAGCATCAGGTCATTTAGTCATTTATGTATACATGTGTGACACACATATCCAAAGCTGTTCTAAGCCTTCCTTAATACAGATCCATATATTTTGTGTCCAGCTGACTGAAGTTCACAGATACATTTTTAAAGCTTTTATATCTGCCTTGATTAGCATTTGAGACATATCTTACCTAACAGGATGTGTCTCTGTTGTCTCTGGAAGATAATGTGCATGTACTGTTCCTGAATTACTGTCCCCTTTGTCCCTGTGCCCTCCCACCTATATTTGAGCCATCCCTTTTGCTGTTTCATCCCTGTCCCCATGACACAGCTCTTGCTCCACTGAGCACAGGCCAAGGTTGACCCATGCTCCACATGGCTGTTCCACTTCATTGTCACAGCAATGTTCCACGGGGCATGGCTGCCTTCCTGGGAGGGTCCTGTGGGGAGGGCTTTCCTGAATGGCACCTAATGAATAACTGACATAGAGAAGTGACTCCCTGGGGAGTCTGTCAGCAGTGCTGCACAGTGCCACTCTGCTCTTGTTTCCACAGGTTTCAGGGACTGTTGTAATGGAATTGTGTTTCCACAATGACTGGTAGAGAAGAGAGAATTCTGTTTTGCAAAAACTTGGTATTTCTTATCTATATTGATAAGAAATACTGATTGATTTCTTATCTGTATCTTAGCTGTCTCCAGATGACTGGTAGTTTTTAGTCATATTAGATGTATATGGAGCACCACGAAGTTATTGAGTTTTCTGACTTTAGGACACTTCATGTTTCATAGATACACAATTCTATTTATGTAGTTATATTTAATGAGATGTCTGAAGTGTCACTCAGTACTAAAGACAGGAATAATGAAAAACCCCAGTCATGGAAGGTAATGCAGACCAACAACTTTTTCTAGTCAACTGCCCCTGAGGAGATCATGACGTGGGGAAAGAAATGTTTGTGAAGGCCAGAAGTTTTATTACAAGGCAATCTGCCATTTTTATTATGGTTACCATTTGCAATTTAAAATAAGCAGCTGTTAAGATAAACAATTGAATTCTTAATTTGAATAACCTTATTTGAGTTGAAGTAAATATACCAGTCAAAGCAACAGCAGAAATAAAGACACTTATTTTACTGTACAAGTCTAGAATTTGGATTTAAATTTATAGAGTGCTTCACAGCAAGCTTTAGCTTTGTTCATGTTCTTCCTCATAGAATTTCTTTCATTCTACAACCATGTGAGCCTCTCATTAATAGAAGGAAACATGCAGAATGTTAAACACCTTCTAAAGAAAAGTTCCATGGGCCTGTATATTAAAAAAAAGTTTCTGATTCAATCCATTCCAGTCTGAGGCAGTTCTTTTGGAGTAAACAGGTTCCAGATAGCCAAAAGTCACAGGAAGAAACCAGCAGTTCAGTTGCTGTGGGATTCACAGCCCTTGAGATATCGGTGGGAATTCTGCTCCTGGAGGAAGAGCTGCAGACTTGAGATGACAGCAGTGATGGGCAGGAGGGCACAGAGTGTCTAAAATGACAGTGGGTGCTTGGGCTTTATGGTGACTGGACTCTCTCCCTCAGTCCTTTTAGCTCTATTGCTGCTGAAAGGCAATCTGGAATGGTTGAAGTCTGTCAAACCAGACACTATACAAGGACAACATGGCACTGTGCATGGGAACCTGGCAAGGTTTGGCTATTCAGCTGAATCTAGAGAAACAAAGAATTTATCTCCTATTCCACTAATTTTTTTCTTTAATCTGTTATGGATTGAACACTAGCCAGAGAGAGCAAGCCAAGAACTTCACTGTTCCCATTTCAGTGCTGTAAAAACATACTCAGAAATCATAGAGAGAGAGGATCACAGGTCTTTCCTTTCTCTGTGGTCAGCAGAGTGTTTATAAATTCTACATGTGTCATTTCGGCGTGTATTAGTTGCTCTGTAAGAAGAGATTTACACATCAGCATGTTAAGCCAAAATGCTCATAATCCACACAAGTCTATCCTGTTTATATCAGCCCTTATCACTTTTCAGAGCTGCTCAGAGTGGAGTGCTTGAGAAAGAAGCTGGTTTGGCAAAATGAGAACCTTGTAAGTGACAGATAGGAAAGCTGACAGTCCATTCGGAGCAACTTGTTAGTCAGAACATGGCAAATGTCTTTTTTCCCCCTACTTTTATACAAAAACCTGATTCCCCTTATGGTCAGTCAAAGCCTGGTGCAGAAGGTATAATCCTCTGTGACATGATTTGGAGTTGCTGGAATATGCTTGTTTTTAAAGTTTAGCTTATTGAATTCTTCTGTGATTTCCATGATTGATTTCCCTTTTGTTTCTGGAAGGAAGAGGTGGATAAACATCCCTGAAGTGAAAAGTACCACCATAAAGATGAGGAAGCAGAAGTGCTTGAGTCTTTCCTGCAAGGAAGAACAAAGTGGGAAAGGGAGAAAGATGAGCGTATCTTTGCTTTAGTCACTTTCCTGGCATGATTTTTGTATTTGGGTCCCATGATGCCTTAAGTTTCAGCTTTTGCATCTTTCAGATCCTGCAATGCACAGAGTTAATGTATATAGTGTATAACTCTGAACTGGGTAAAGAGTGTTAGTTAGCTCTCTTTACATTTTGGGCAGACAGAACAATTCCTCCAGGCCTGAGCTGAGAACCAAGGTCATCAACACAGCCTCAGGTCCAAAAAGTATAAATAAAATGAATTGGGGTGGAGGAAACTAGGGGAATGTGACTTCATAACCTGAAGCTATAATTGCACAATTAACCTCTGATATGCAAATAGACCAAACTGAAATCAGTCTGAGAAACTTGTAGCCATCATCCATCTTGGGTGCAGCCTCTGTGAGACTTTTGCACTGCCCAAGGTGCATCCTTTGAAGGCCTTTAATAAATACCTCCTTTATTCTTTTTGATCTGTCTAGCCTCTATTCTAGATACCCAAACCAAGGCATCACCCAAAGTATTTTGAATTTGATAAGGGATTCTTTCCCTTTTGACCTTTGAGAAATATTGTGGTGTGAATGAATTGCTTGGGCAAAGGGCGTGGGAGAGCAGGTGCCGAGAGCGGCGCGGGCGCGGGCGGCGCTGCCGGGGCAGGGGCGCTCACCACGATGAAGGGGAAGGTGGTGCCGATCACAAACACCCCCAGCCAGGTCAGCACGGCGCTGATCACAAAGGCAGGGGGCCTGCAGGACAGCTTGAAAATTTCAACCCTGGTGGAAACTGTTGCACCACCTGGAAGGAAAGAACAACAACAATTTTGGTTCTTGTTTCATGTGCTTGGCTCCCACATTTGGATTGAGTTTTACGCAGTCAGCTCACCGATGCTGCTATAATGGACTGCCATGAGTACCAGAATTGTTCAGTGGCGTTGAGTATGCTGCTCTTTGTTACAAAAGAAAACATTTATGGCATTTAATAAGCTGCTAGACATCAGTTTATGAAACCGGTAAAGTTCTTCAAATAAATTTAGTATACTGCTAGGCATCAGTTAATTAAACTGGTAAAGTCCTCAAATAGATGTAATATATTGCTAGACATCAGTTAATTAAACTGGTAAAATACTCAAATAAATTTTTGGAGACATCCAAGAATTAAGTAATTGACACTTGAGAAAGCCTGTCATCCTCTCATGAAAGAAGATGTTTCAGGATGGAATGACAATTGCTATTGATAAAATGAATTTTCAGTGTGATTCTGCTAGGTTACCAATGAGTGATCTTCTCAGATTTACTTCTTGGGCATTTCAGTTATGTTTTGAAATCACAGCATTTCAAGTGTTTTGAGTTAGGAAAAGAATTCAACACTGCCTTATGGGAAGGCAAATATTTTAAAAAATATTAGCCTTTATAAAATAAAATTTAATGAGTAGCAGGCAATAAATGCTAGGAAAAAAAATATTCCAAAGTAGGTCTTCTGCACTGCTGTCTATGTGGGATAAGATGTAACATTATACAACACTGAATTTAAAAGAACACTTTCTTTTATTTTTCTCTTTTTTTTTCCTAGCATTTAGAAAATATCTTTTACCCATCTGCTTTTGCTCTATTTTTGCTGTATTTTTCCAGTGTGCTCCTTTCTTTTTTTTAGCAAAACTCAAACCTGATGGTATTGAATTTTATGTCCAGTGAATAACTGGACCCACAATGTTTACATGACTTCAAGATTATGTTAAATGAATTTACTTATGCTAAATATTCTGCAATATAAGGCAGTATTTTCCTAACCCTATTAATAAGCTCACATGACTCAATTCCTTTATTTCATTTGATGGAGAACTTACCTGGCCCAAGAGCAAAGACAACTGTAAACAGGATAATGAGGGCCAGGCTGCAGTAGGGCATCCAGAAGTACCAGTCCTGGGGAAACAAAGCCATAACAAACTTCTGGTTGAAAACTGGTAACAGCCCTAGGTGAGGAATGCTCCTGCTTTTCCAACACTGTCACCTCAAGAGAGAAATATTCAGTGTGTGGGAACTGAGAGCTGTGAGTGCTTTACTCTGTGCAGCTGAGGTCTTTGTTAGGTGAGCAGACAGATCTGCCAGTGCAGAGTAGCTGCAAATCTATGGAGGCTTCCATTAAATGAAGTTTGAAGAGTTCTTTTGCACCCTGTCCTTTCTTTTTGACCTCATAGTGCTTCTTCTGATCCTTAGAGATATGAGAAGGACAAGTCACATTTTTCTTAACTTTTGTTAAGTTATATATTTAAAAACTGGTACTGAAAAGTAATTTTTCTACATTTTAATCAAGGAGAAATGAGACTCGATGCTTTAGGGAAAAAATATTTCTCTCTGCTATGTTTGAGAGCGTTCATGAATGATACAAAACCAGAAGTCTGCTGCCACCTTGCTTCTAGATCAGTTTTGCAGTGTATCTCCAGAGTAGCTCTGGATGAGTACTGGTAACAGTACTGGTACCTGGTACCTGGTGACACAGGTGATTTGCTTCTGAAAAAGCTACAGCTATGGCACAGAGGTATCACTGTGAGAGGTGAGCTGGTCTCCAGTCTGTGAACAGAGTGCTTCCTCACAATTATCTGCAGCAAGGTTCAGTTTCAAATTAACTGATGCCAAAGGTCTGGGGTTTTGTTGTTTCTTGTTAGAAACAGCATGAATAGAAAGGGCCCTTTTCCTAGGAGTGCCCTGTGGTCTGTGCTGGCTGGTGTTTGGTGTTTGCAGTCTGATGAAGCCAGGAACCAGTCTCCCAGTGTTTTATGTGCTCCTTGTTGAGGTCATGGGATCATGTTGAAAGCAGGGCAGGAGTACAAGAGACTACTGGCTAAGAGAGAGTTTAATCCTACATATAGACAAGCTTGTTCTAAGCCTCACTTTCCTTTCTCAGTAGTGTGGTCCTGCCAGTGAGCTTTAGATCAGAAATAGAATAGACAGCAATCTGCTGTGAGCAGAATTTCCTTACCTGCAGGGACAGAGTCACAGTGATAGCAGCTAGCAGTGAACCCATGATCCAGTAGCCTCCTCTTAGGAGCACTTTCCTGCCCAGCCTCTCAATGATGGAGCTCTGAAGGACAGAAATCACATCAATGTCAGGGCTGGAGAGCAAAGTGTGCCCCACTCCCTGGTAAAGTGACTTACACAGACTACAGCAGCTACAAGTTCAGAGAGTCCAATAGAGAGGGTCATGTAGGAGGCCATTTTTTCATCAAAGCCAGCTGCCTGGAGGACTTCAAAAGTATAAAAATAAATCTGGAAAAAACAAACAAACAAACAAACCCATCAAAGAGTAAGAGAAGAAAATAATTGATTTCTTATCCAAACTTGTGTGATACTGCCCCAGATATGAGCTGCTAATCAGGGAGCATGCACCTCAGCTTTGGAGTGAGCTGGAATTCTGTACTCTTTCTGCTAGCATTCCCTTTATCAGCAGACAAAAATATTATAAAACATTCTAGAATTAATTCATTAATTAATTTGATAAAAGACAAAATGCTGGGATAATTGGACCTCCAACTACTACAATGCAATTAGGTTTGCAGACTCCTGATTTAGGTGATTTCAGAAACAGATATCAAGATAGGTATATCTTGTTTTCAGAGCTCATCCAAAAACATCATTGTAGAATATTCCCGAGAAAGAAGAGCGTGGGTTATGGAGTCATGAGGGTCAAACCAAACATCTTTTCAAGTATCTCTGATAGTGTTTGCAAATATGCTGAAGTGATAAAGATGATAAATAATGCAGTTTAAGCTGTGTTAGATTCAGCTGTGTATTTCCTTTACAGATGCTGCTGCATCTGATGTTAGCGGTAGGAGGGTCATGCAGGCAACTGCAAAGCTGTGACTTCAGAAGGATCCCAGAAAGGCACTCCTGTGAGGAAGAGCAGAGCTGCAAAAGCTGCAGAGCAGGGAGCATGCTTGTTGTTGGCTTTAAGGACAGAGTGAGCAAACTGCTATCCCAATACCTCTGGGTGCTAAGAGCCAGGGGACAAATAGCAGCAGTTGCAGTGAGCAGTCACATAAAATTACAGATTTGCCAGCAGAGTGGGCTCATTCCTAAGAGTGAGCTCTGGAGCTCTGCAGTGGCTCCCAAAGGTGGCTGATCAGTGAGCCTAACTACAGAGGCTGGCAGCTCCAGCAAGGACCAAGAGCTGGGCAGAGGGATGTCACACAGAGAGCCCAGCCAAGCTTGTGGCTGCTGCTGTCCTGTAGAAGGGCTGGCAGACAGCAGGGCTTGGGCTGAGAAACCTGAGAAAAATGGAGAAAGCTCCTGTGAGCTGTGATATCTTGGGACTTTAAGGGGGAAATGCACTCAACTGCATTGATGCCACATAGCTGAATTGTGGCGGTCAGAGTAACTATCATGTACAGCTGCCAACGGAAAGCTGGTTCTTTCACTAGTTCCAGGACACTCAAGATCTTGGTGTTTTTCATTGTTGCTTTCTCTTTCATGATGTCATCAATCTCTGCTTGGTGTTGGCCTTCACCCCAAAGCTGCCTTATTGCTGTGAAGAAGGAGAGCGAGACCTGCCATGTTAATTCGTCTCTGTTAATTCCCTAAGAAGTTTTCTGAGCAGGTGATGCAAGCGTCTGGCAGCTCAGTGTGCACGGGCTGGGACTGTGGAGGCAGGGATGTCTCACAGGGTTTTCCAGAGCCCTGATCCCCTCCTGCTCAGTGGCACCTGCTGTGACAGAGGGGCCTAGCAGGGTGCACAAGGGCTCCCTCCCTGCCCATGGGGTGCTCTTCTGCCTTCCTCCTTCTCTCAGGGTGTGAGCAGGATGCACAGACAATAACCAGAGCTAAGGGGTGCCCGCTGGAGCCCTGCAGTGCAAACAGCTATTTTTCATTTATTATTTAGCATTAATAATCAGACTGACAGTGCAGGTAGTGTCAGACAAATGCGAAAGGTTTTGTAATACAGAGCTGTAGAGGGAAGTAGTTTTGTGTTCTATGTGGGAACTACAACAATAATAGACTTAGTGGGTATTCACAGAGCCATGTGGGAAATGAGCAGGGAGAAGCTTTGGCCTATTTATTTCTTTCAATATGGGGAAAGCAAGCATCACAAAATGATTCTAAGTCAAGTGGGGAACAGGAACCTGAAGCCCTTGGTTACCTTTTTTGCAGCCTTCCTGGTCTCCTTTCTGCATGAGGAGATAGGGTGGGGACTCTGGGAAGAAGGGAAGTGTGACCAGCTGGACCAGTGCTGGGAGTCCACAGGAGGCCATCAGCACGGGCCACAGCGACTGGCTGCCCAGCAGCTCCCTGGAGGGAGGGAAAAGCTGTGTTAGAGCTCATTGCATCGGCTTGGAGGAGAGAAAGGAAGGCATGGAAAAGCTGAGGGAGAAGCAAAAGGTGGAAAGGATCCAGAAATGAATTGTGTGGGCAATCGATTACCCATACCTTTGTCCTGAAATTTGCCCTATGGCTTTTCCCAATGTCCAAAAGAAAGAGGAAGTAGAGTTTGCAAATCCACGGAGCTTCCTAGGAGAAATTTCTCCAACGTATTGGTGATGTAGAGGAACACAAAGACCTTGAGGTGAAGAGGGAATCATGGGAGAGAAGAAAGAAGACATAACCATTGGAAATAAAACTGTATGTAAATAATTATTACAGAATACAGCTGTCTCTGGCACATACCTCAACTCACATCTGAGACTTCCAGTACTAGATTTTTAAACTCTTTCTACAAAATATTGATCCTCTTTGCAGAGTGCTGTTTCCTGATCTTAAAAATGTACAGTTTTCCCTTTCAAGTGTAGGTGTAGCCTCATCATAAGATGTCCTGTGAGCCTTAGCATGTTTTAAAGAACATAGGGCATGCAAGTGCTAAATAACTAAACACTTTTCAGCAGTATTTAATATGCTTGTAGTTAACCCACATCATCTCAACCTTTTCTGACATAATGCTTTTGAAGAGCTGTATGGTAGACTCATGGCAAATTATCACATATAGTGCTACAGTCAATGTTGATTTGTATGCGATTTAGGTGGAGACACGAGTATTTCTTTTCTGCTATTCAGCAATAATTTTTATGATTACAGGCAGAGTTGATATTTCCAGTTATATTTATTAGCTCAGACATGCTAAATACTAGTCTGGGAACAGAAGCTTTTTCCTGATATGGTGGTCACAGCCCCTTTTATCCGTTTCAAATGCAACATGTTCTTCTTTTGGCTGTATGTGATGGCAAAGCAATCTCTTTTGATTGCAGTCTCTTTAACAAAAATCAGATTTTTGAATTGGGCATGATATAGATTCTAGAACAGAGCAAGGCCCCTGTTGGTTGACTGTTCTTAAATTACAACCATAACCCTTTGACACATCTCTTTGTCAGAGAAGCAATGTACAAAATCTGGTTATTTGAGAAATAGGCATTAACTTCTAAGTTAACTCTTTAAAAAGTGAAAAGGGGCATTCCTGTGAATATGCAAGGAATAGAAAGGCAAGTTCTCTGTAGGGAAAAATGCAAAAAAAGGAAAAAAAAGATAGCAAAGTAGCAACACAGGATGTTTTTACTGCCTGTAGTCTACTTGCCAGGAGTGATTTTGCTTTATTAAGCCCAGATCATTGTACAAACCCCAAGGACTTACTACTTGGAATACTCCTCCTTATGGAAATATGAGCTTTAAACTGTATAATTTCAGTACTGCTAGCTAAATTTAAGAAAAGATTCTATATCTTTTTCCTTCAGAAAATCCCTTTTTTCATGAGATATCAAAACATTTCTGACATCTCTGAATATTCATACACTTGGCAAAGCTGAATTTCATTTGGTATCAGTGAAATTGATAATAATTACGCTCTTCATTGCAGAGCATTATAGAAAATCTTCTTGCAAAAGATCAATGACTTCAGCATTTTGTTTTCTTAGTGGAGGGTTATTATTTACTTTGAAAAAAGATGTAAAATTTTGTGAGATTCAGCTGACCTATGGGAGAAGTCACTCACCTGCACTTACTCCACACATGAAGCGTCCAATTAGAATCATCTCAAAGGACTGGGACATTTTACTGCAGCCCATGATAGATGCTGCCACTATCATCAGCACGTTGTTGCACAAGAGGCATTTCTTTCTGTAAGTGCAAGAAAATGAAAATAATTTTGCTGCTCAGAAGGGAAATGGCACTTAATGCCATGCAGGAAGTCTTGGCTGAAGTTGTCTTGATAGTTTTTTGAAATTACACATATGTGGTCCAGGGCAAAATAAGCACTGGGTACTTTGGACTCATGGTGTGCCTTGGCACGTGGCTGCACGTGGGAGTTTGGGAGCATTTCTGGGGTGTGTAGCAGAGAAACTCTGAAAGATTTTCTGCACTTGAGCATCCACTGTGAAACACATTATTGCAGCACCAAGGATCTCAATGCTTCTGTGTTTTGAGTAGCACTTTCCAGAACCCATTCTGACTTCAGCCCGGTGCTGCCTTTCCCCATTGCTGAGATTAACCCAGCCTGAGGAGCTGTGGCTGGTGTGACAGGCTGGCAGCACAGTCCATGCCACAGGACGTGGGCAGGAAGCAGGAAAATCAGCTGACACCACAGCTAAGCTGGCTGTGCTGCAGCCATCACTAAGTCTAAAAGTCTATCTCATTTAAAACCTCAACTGTCATTTCCTTAAGCTAAGATTCAATTGACCGATTGTCTTTAAACATACATACTTGCCAAATTTGACAGTGAGGTATCTGCTCCCTGAAGAACCCAAGAGACCTCCTACGCCGAAGATGGACACAGTGAAAGACCACAGGAGCAGGAGGTTATCCTGTTGGATGGGATAGCCATAGCGCTCCAGCCAAGTTTCATTAATGAAAGCCTTAACATGCTGAGGCAGAAAAAAAAAAAATCAGTAACAGTACCTGTGACAGCAGTGCACCTATTTTATTATATTTACAAAATCATTTTGTTGCTTCAGCTGAAGTTACTATTTCACATAGGCTTTAAAATTGTGTATTAGCTAACAGACATAGTGTAATAGAGTATGCTATGCTCATCCCGCCAGTAAAAGTTCAATCTTTGGGTTTTTTATCCTTGAAATCTGAGGAAGTGAGGCACAGACTGGTACTAAAGAATAGTGTAAACAGTACTACAAAGTTCTGCAAATGAGTTACGGATTTTCTCTCACATACCTGCCAAGAATGCCACATTACACAGAGTTTGTTCAGTGCAATTCCTAAATAATTTTTCACTCAGAACTTGGTGCTCTGAAGCCAGAAAATAATGCTTTTCCACTAAAGTGGTGTGTACAAAATAATTATGTCTTCCCTCTAGACTTCAGTGCCCTTAATGTGGTCAACGGAGAGAAGCAGACTTTTCCTAGAGCATGGCTCACGTGTTCTATTTTTGTGTGAGGATGGATAACCATAAAAAAATAAACTGAAACCACTGAAGAAGGCACACATGCTGTAATATTTTAGGGGAGACAGATGCCACCCTAGTTAGTGTGTGTCTTCTGAGGAACAGTTCTATTAACAACTTGCAGATCTCTCTTTTCTTCTGTTTGCAACACTTTGACATGCTCTGCTCTTCATAGCATAGCATAGCAAATGGGAAATGAGAGGAGAATACTGTGATTAAACCCTTGCTGAGTGCCAGAAGAGCAGCCTCAGGCAGCAGTGGAGACCCAGTGCTCGCCTTAACCAATGTGCCAGGTGCATCTTTGCCTACCTGAGACATGTAGGTGATGGTAGAAATTTGAAAGCCAATTTGGAATGTGCCACCAATCCCCAGGACAGCGATCATTTGAAAGAGCCCCTGGTACTGAACCTGCAGAAGTAGAACAAAATCTTCTTAAGGTTGTGCCCACATCAGGCTGTTCTCACAATGTCTTCCATTCTCCAGAAACATCTCATTGGTTCAGGGGATTTTGAGGTAGCAATTTCTCTCTGCTTGCCCTGGTGCAAGATGTACATCCTCCTGTGATTTCCTTACATCCAACTCAAGGAAGTGCAGCTTCCACAAGCATCCTTGTCAAAGCACCATGGCTTCTAGCATCCAGTTCTGTTCCCTGACTCTCAAAACCTCTGCTGCCACGTCTTGCATTAAATAATTATGTGTATGTTAAAAAGCACTTTTTCTTTTTACCAGGTAAACAAACCAAATTATGTTTCTAGATAAGCAAAAAGAAAAAAAAGGAAAACATTTAAGACACATTAATATATTGATAAAAATATGGTAAGGATGAATGGCAGAGCATATGAAGTGCTCTAATACCTCAAAATAGTGGGCACAACCTCTTCCAAGATGCTTGTAGTAAACAGGAGCCTTGTTCTTACCAAGACACTAATTTTGTTTTCTTTGAAATCCCAGTAACACACTAAAAATGTCCCAGATGTGAATACCCCACCAAGTACTTACCAGGTTTGATAGGAAGCCAGTCATCTCTGCCTGAGGGCTGGCTGTCCAGTGTGTGATGTGTCTTTGTCATCACAGGCTTGTGTCTCTCTGTCTCCTGCCTGCTGCTACAGCACTGGGCATTTGGCTTCAGGGATCAGAGTTAAATTTTTACTATTTTATCTTCACTCACTTATATTTACTTCAACTGGCTAAAGTTAACACTGCCAGATTAAATATTTCATGAAATCATTACATCTAGTCCAGTCTCCGGGGTGGGGGGGGGGTTTTCAAAGCAGAGAAAATTTGCATATGGGGACCAGTGAAGGCTTTGGGAAGGGAAAGGAGAAGAGGTCAGGCAAAACAATCCAAATAGATTTCCAGGAACAGTAAAATGCTTTACTTCCATGATATAGACTAGTGCGTATATCTGCCATAGTCTACAGAAAGCAAAAAGCAGCTGGTACAAGGTTTAGCTACTGTTATTTATGAATAAGTAAAATATGTGGTGTTCTGTTTCAGATTCTTTGATAAAGTAAATATCCTAATTAGAAGAAAAATAGGCAAATTTAAGAGGCTAGTTTTGCTGTTCTGGCCTTATGAATCAGTTAGACTGTGCTGAGGAAGGGTATTTGTTGTCTGGTGTTTATGGGCATATTTGTTGACCAGGTGTGGTGAAAAAGTAGTAAGAGGCTAAGACTCATGAAAGTTGTCAGACAAGGTAAATATGCCCTAATGAATTGGGATAGGACCACCAGGATCTTCCTCCCTCAGGTTTCATCTTTGACATAGAATGGCTCCAAAATCAGTGTTGCAGGCAGTGAAAAATCACCTTTGATTCCCAGAGGCTCCAACTGCAGGTCTGCACAGCTTCCACTGGAGCCAGCACTGTGAAAAGAGGTTGCTTTGCCTGGGGCTTCGCTGTGTGGTTTCCTGTGCTTTTCTTGCTTTTAAAGCCTTTCCTCATTCTCCTCATGCCAGGGGACTGCCCTGGTGGGGGCAAATGGACAATGGGGTTATACTGAGCCCCTCAGTAAATGCTCAAGCTCACCCTCAGGACTTGTACTTTCAGTTTATAAAACACAGAATGTAATTATTTACAGAGGGGTTTACCGCAAATCCTGTGAGTCTCAATAAATGAGAAAAAAAATGTGTGTTAATATTAAAACTTTGGTTACTTGTGTAATTCCAGCTATTGTCTGTATAACTGCATAGCAAATGCTGCTTATCCTGGCTGACAGCAGTGTTCAGAATGATCTGGCATTTTTCGGGTTTTCTCTTGAACACTGTCATTGTAACTACTTGCATATCTCTTGGCTATTGTTTCAAAATGTCAGTGTTTCCTTTTTCATTATGTATTTTTTCTCAAATTGTAGTGAGGTGTAGGGAGGCTATGTAATTTTCAAGAGGATTCACCGCTTGAAAATAATTACTGAGGACTTAAAATAGCAGCAGATCCCATCAGCTCACAGTGAAATTTCTCTTACATTTTGAGGGATTTCTGCTGATTCTGAGTCATGGTACTATTTCACCTTATTAGCAATTTTAGGAGAATTTAATTCTAGGTGCTTACTTCCTGGATTTTTGTGAAGTCAACAAAACTCTTTCTGTTGGAAATGTCACCTATATTCTTAAAAAGGCTGCTACACTGGCAGTTGTGCACGATTTTATGTTTAAAGAATTGAGTTAAGAAGATCTTGTAATTTTTTTTTTATGTAGAACTGTAATAAATGCTTCCTGTGAAAAGGCCAGGGAGGGAAAGAACAAAAATCAATTTTATAGCTGTAACACAGCTGATCCAAGCTCAGGAGCAGCAATATTTTGGAAAAGCCCATGATGCTGAGCTGTGTAATAGATGCTCTCTAGACCTGCTTATGTTTCTTTACTGAACACAGAGGAAGGCCAGAAGCAGCTGGTGGTGTCACATCTACAGAGGTGGGTTTGTATTTAGAAGATATCCTGACCTGCTGGTTTGGACATGAAAGCCAAGGCTGGCTATCTGCTGTCCTGCACAGAGAATTCTCATGCAGGTCACTCCTGGGGGACATTTGCTTACACTCAGCAGAAGGCTCGTTTCAAGCAACACCAGGATCAGTGCCATCAGCAAATAACCACCACACAGGAGAATTTGGCATCCAAATCGATTGATTATGGAGCTCTGAGGAATAGAAAAAAATATTGCCTATCACTGGGAGCATGGCAAAATCCATCTGTGAGCCATCCAACAAATCAAGCATTCTTCTTGAGTTCTTTTTACTTCACAGAGCACAAATCTTATTGGTACAACTTTGTTATTTTATTGAATTCCTTCTACACTCTCTAATACTATGAATTATCATCATTGCCCAGCATTGCAGCTGCTTCTTAAACACTGTAATCAATGGAGTCATGTTACATCTCCATTTGAATGTATAGATATACACAAATATATGAAAATGAGTAGTACACATATTTATGTTTGAATGACACTTCATAAGGGATTCTTATAAGAAATTAAGATTAATGAAGATGGGATGAAACACATGAAAGTTGGGACAAAATTTGCAGTGGATGGTAACAACCACTGTACAGATTCATGCAGCACCACAGAAAAATTCTCTGGTTCATAAGGAGAGGATTTATTTGCTTCAAAGAAGAATACTTTAATTCTTAAAACCCCAGGAAGATCTGACTTACACAGAATATGGTAGAGATGAGTTCAGAGATTGAAACTCCTAGATATACATAGGGATTATGCTTTCCTGCAGGTTGGCTGTTTCAAAAATTTCTGAGGTGTAAAAAGTGATCTGTGAAATAAGAAAAATAAAACACAATTAATAGATGTAATATGTGCTTATCCAGGATCACTTAGAACTAGATTTGTCCTCACTGCAAAACCAGCAATACATTACTGGGCCTTAGTAGAGGTAACATAACAGCTCCAGACGTAAGAAATCAAAAGGTTAATGGAAATCAAGGAAATGGATTTGTGAGAGGCAAAAAAAAGAGTAAAAAAAGAAAAAAAGTAGTTGGGAGGAGTATATTGCCTGTAAAACATGGGAAAATGTGTTGTTTTGGCAAAAAGGAAAAGGAAAGGGACGAGAGAAAGAGCAAATCTCAGTCTTAGCACACCATACAGTTGATTCTGTTGCCCTTTTCCAGTTGCTAAGCAGAAGCTGCTCATCTGCAGAGCCCCTGAGGGAATGGGCACCATTTCCCTGCCAGCAGAGTGCAGAGCAATGAACCACCTCCAGCACAGGCTGAACCAGGGCTTATGGAGACTCCCAGAGAAGTGAAAACACGAAGGGAATGATGCCAGCTTGGGCTGCCCTGGGCTCAGCCAGCTTTACATGGAAACTGCTGAAAGGATGTTGCTTGTTAATGGATAAATGTCCTTTCTCAAATGAAATGAAACTGGATGGCAATAGCTGGCCATCTGCTGCTGCAGAAATCAAAGAAAGTGGTGCTGGGCTGCTGTAAGCCTTAGGATACTTGTAACCCTTTCCTGTATAGATTCCTTGGTTGCACCACCAGGGGAATGAAGGCAACAGTGCCCTTGCAGGAACTTAGGCTGAGCTGGAGCTTTTGTATCCCCCTGAGAAGCTCCCTGAAAGGTATGAACAATACTGGGATGATAGCACGGGTGTCAGGCAGTGGGCTCTGTGTGAGGAGGAATCACGCAGACCCAGGGGAAGGGACAAGTTGGCATTGTGGCACTTTGGAGACATCATAGCAGATCCAAGCATGGACATAGGGCATACTCAGCTGCACTCAGGCCACAGAGCTGCAGGTTCAGCAAAAGGAGGGGCATGGCACACAGCTGTGGGTGCACAGATCGTTCTCTCAGCACCTCTAGGACATTCATGATTTTGTTACAGCCTTTTGTTGTAGCCTTTTCTTTCATCAAGTCATCAAATTCTGTGTGATAATTCCCTTCTCCCCAGAGTTGCTTCATGGCTACAGAAGAGACAGAATGAAGTATACTCCTCCATCATTTGATCTACTCCTAATTCTGTGGTTTTCAACTTTTAATGACACAAAACATTTGAACTTGAGTTCATGCTTTGATTCATCAGTTACTGAGCAAAGGACTGGAAGGAACATCATTTACTGGAACATGGTGAAACTTCCCTGGAAAATGCTGTAGCAGTTAGGGGTAGATCTTAAATGTCTCTGATGACTCTGCTTGGTCTGGAGGATTTTAATCTTGTAATTATCAAGAAATCTGTGGCTGGCTAATAGAAAAGCCAATTCCTGTTGTTAGCTTCACTTTCTCAAGAGTAATGATTTAACAAACTAAGGATCTAAAGTTTTATTTTACCTGTCAAGCAACCAGCTTTGTCTTCTTTTTGCAGCAAGAGATAGGGTGGGGACTCAGGAAAGAATGGCAAAAAGATCAGTGGAATCAATGCCACCAGCCCAGAGAAGGACAATAGCACATTCCACATGTTTTCAGTTCCTAAAAGTTCTCTATGAAAGCATGTTAGAATCTATTCATAGTCCAGTAAAATTACAGTTTATAACTAAATAAGTATTTTCTAAATTCTAGACTAGCTAAAGAGACATTAAATACATACAATCATTGAAAAGTTCAATTGAAATAGATGACGTTTATCTTAGTGAGAGGAAAATAGACTAATACTTTATTTCTTCTACAAGACTGACATATTTCTTAGACTTTTAATTTCTGAAGGTCAAAATATTACCACAACAGCTCTCTGAACCAACAATGCAACTCTGCGTGAAATCATCAAGAAATTAGCAAAACTTTGAGATCTCACAAGTTTAATAAGGATATTCACATACAATCTTTTCTTATTAACTCCAGCAGAGAGATTGCACCTCCAGAGACTGAGTCATCCTTTCCCAACAGAAAGGACTTTCTATCCTCAGGGAATGAGCATGGGAACCTCAGTGACTTGTATGGGGTAGATGCCTCCTCTTTGACTGCTGTAGTTAAGCAAAATAAAACCCCACCCTTGGTGTATGTCTGATTCTAGGACTGGGAGAACACCACTTCCCTGCTATACAGAAGAAAAATAAATATAAAACAGGCAGAGAAGGGGTAG